CTAAGCCGGAGCTCGGTCGTTCTTATTTTTAAATGACTTTTTTTTCGAACATCCATTATATACATAATATACGTGTCAGGTGTCGCACTACACATCACCTATATAATTATATTTTAATGTGTGCACTGTGCAGCAATTCTTTTCAATGATCGGTACTATGTAATATAAAAAAAAACGTCCAGGTACGCCCCTGTTAGAGAAATGTGTAGTTTTAGTCTACGACGTGTTAGTAACCACGAGAGCTTTCCAAATATGAAGAGAAAAAAACCTAGACGATGTGAATATATATGTACAATTATTACAATATGCTAATTATACCGGCCATCGACGCGTTCTCTCTGTGGATATATTATTTATATATAATATATATGTATAGGTTCTACGCGCTCGTGTGTATAATATTATTTATCTTTAAATTGTATATTATGCCGTATATGGCTTTGACGTTTGTGTATGTATATGTGTAAGTGTATGTGTGTGTGTGTGTGTGTGTGTGTGTGTGTGTGTGTGTGTGTGTGTGTGTGTGTGTGATTTTTAGTCGTCTATATCGTTGCCCGTCAGTCACACGCATGAGTATTATATATATATATAGTCCGTTTATTCGTATAATGCGCGGCCTGATTTCCCCCATATTGTGTGCAGCCTCCCCGCCGGTCACATCTATCCGGTTTTCACGATCCACGAGAGAAATTTCCAAATTTGGCCCCACGGGCGTGATATGAAAATCGTATACACTTGGTCTTTTTTTTCTCCTTTCTCGACAACTTTACAACGGCCGTCGGTATCATATATTATCTATATTTTAATATGGTTGGATCTATTATGAGCGCATAATTTATATTTGTGTCGTAGGTACGCTGTGACTGCAGCGCAGTGATCGATTTATTTTCGAAAACGATTTCCGCGCCAGTCTCCTGAACTGATTGCTTGACCAGTTGATCGCGCGTGCAGTGTTTTGTGCCAAGAGCAAAGTAAGTTGTTTTTTTCGTGATGACAATGCCAGGGATGCCGTTTTTGTCAAGGGAATATCCGCCTCTTAAAAATAACCCAAGCAAAAGCATGTAGGTACGAAAGGCGTTTTAATAATAAAAACAATTAGAATAAAATAATACTATTTGTCTTATCATGACATTGTTATTTATTTTATAATTAATTGTAATTTATTGTAAAATAAAATAAAAAAATAATATAATATGTACCTACCTGGCTACCTATATAGGAATATAAGGTCAGTAAGCTCCAACTAATTATTTGTAAACTGATAAATACTGTCTGTTATAATTTATGTATTTTCTTTGTATTTACGAAGATTACTTGCTCAAGATTCATCAATTATGTATCACATTACTACATAAAAAAAATGTTGACTTAATATATCTGACATAGGTTGCAATCTTCTACGGGTTTGGAATAGGAAGTGCTCTACTCAGTGGCGTATATAGAAATAATTTTTGGGGTGGGCTATAGACCATAGTAGACAGAAACTTGCAAGTGATCTATTACTTAGAGGCTATACTGTCTGCTATATATTTAACAGTTTCTATGAATATATTCGTATTTGCAGCCCACTGTGCCCATCCCCTATATACGCCACTATTTGTGTATAAAATTCCACACCACCTTAGCCATAAACGACAACATTGGAATAATGAAGCCCGTTTAAATGCATGAGGTATTATACATGGCGCGTTTTTTTTATTGTGGTGTCCCCGTTAAGGCCTAATCCACATGTACAAATAAAGTGTCAATTTTATCCACACTTTCACCACAAAGTAATTTACTGTTAATGATCAGTTGTGGATACGTTTTTGTTTTTAACGTATCTATATAAGAATTGTTTAATAGGTACCTATGTATTTTGACAAAGTACCGTGACGGTTGACAATAATTAGAAAAATAATAATGTAATGATGGTAAAATTTGCAAAAGTCTGCTTGAGTTTTTTTTTATATGGCGAATTTGTGGATATAATTTTAAATCAATAGGAAATATTATAAGAGTTTAATTATTTAAATAGTTATTAAACGCACGCACTGGTGAATTATTATTCAAAATAATTTATTTCAATACAGGTACCTACTGTTAATTTTTTCTGCCAACACCCATAAAGTTATAAGTTACACGGGTTCATTATTAGGAACTTTACTTTTTTTAATACTCCCATATGGATATCGGTGAAAAATGTAACAGTAACAACAAACCAAAGTTAGAATAGTGGCAATAAATATATAAACCATTAAAGTAATTTTAATTAAATTAAATTGACACTTTATTTGCACTTAAACTATTGTATATTACTTACCAGACTTACCTGTAGAAATATTCATATTATTATTTATAAGTTATAACTATAGTGCTCGGAAGCTATAGGAGCTAAAAAAGGAAAAATATACATGAAATATGCACAACAAAATTGAAAAATATGCATGAAAAAATGTTAAAAATAGTTTGATAGCAATTTTAAACTCCAAAAAAGCCATTTTCTGTTGTTATTAAATTGTACTAAAAGAAATGTAAAATTTGAAAAATAAATTTATAATATTTAAAATATGGCGAAAAACTGTATGGAATTTCGACATTGTATTGAACTGAAAAAAATAGTTAAAAAAAATATATTCGAAAAGATAGTAGGTACATCGGAATATAGGAGTGATATAGATTAAATGCGTATCGCACAGTTTTCGTTAAAACTTAAATGAATAGTCGATTGCGATGATAACAATAAATACCTACCTACAATTAATAGGGAGTTAAATATTCAATATTATTATTAAAATACACGGCTTAAAAAAGAAAAAGATTAATTAATTTTTTTAATAACATATTAAAATGCGTATGAAGATCAAGAAATATGCAGTTTTTCCCCTAAAATTTACGAAATATGCGAAAGTTGCGTTTTCAATAGGTACCTATTCAGTTTTTAAGCCAAACTGACCATTGTATGGATCGAATTTTTTTAGCTTGTTCTATAAATATTTTATAAATCAAGAGCATAATATAGAATAATATACAACTCCTATACTGTATATTATATACAGTCCTACAACTTCCAAGCCCTAATTATAACATTTAAAATACTATCCTCGTCATCGACTATTTTCATTTATATGTATTATTATGAAATATTTTTAAATCATTAGTGCATTGTTAAAATTAAGATTTCATTCCCTTAATGAGAACTACTAACAATGCGTTTTAAAAAACTAAAAAATTAAAATCCTCACTCATGCATTTCTAATCATAACCAGCGAGAAGGGAGAGAGATAAGGATTTCCGTAAGACCTTTCCTTTTTTTTCGGTATCAACGACGTTGCTGAAATTTCTTGAAAATTACTTCGACAACTTTCGTACTGGCTGCAGTGTTGAATGTTGATTGTTTTGGGCAGAGGTAAAACAATTAAATTAATTTATAACTTTACTTTAAGTTTAAATACTAAATATTAAATATAAAATTAAAAAAAATTCAAAACAATAAAACTTTCTATTTGGATACGTATTTTAAACTAATTGCAACTATTATGGTATAAATAAACAAATAAATTCTATTCGATTAAACATTTACGTATACAAAACAATATAGTCTCCTTTTTAGCCAGCACGGTATTACACTTAGGTATATTTATTTACTATAGCCAACATAATATTATTATAAAATCAATAATATATGTATGTATGTACAGGCGCGTACTGGCCCACCGGGGTACCGGGAAAATCCCGGTAGGCCCTCCTAAAAATTATAAGACCTTGGCCCCCCACAAAATAGGTACCTGTAGTTTCTGTTAAATTCAGTAATTGCATTATTTTTAACAATAAATGATAATTTTTTTTAAATTATTTTAATTGAATAATTGAAAAGCGAAAATTACATAAAGGACAAATAAGAAATTTTGTTGGTTAGTTTTAGTTACTGGTAATGTAACTTTTGGTGTACTACTGTACAAGGTTTAATCATATTATACAATTCGTATATTTGTTGAAAAACGAATAATTTTTATTTAGAATTCTAGTGAATACTATAGACAAGAAAAAGCGGTATGTGGATACACGGTTAGGTTAGGCTCCGAACGTTTCTGTTTATAATAAAGTTATTTATAAATTGCATGGATTATTCGTTATCATTGATAATATTATTAACCTAGTATTATACATATTTTATTTCATTAATTTGAATTTCGTCGACGGGTATAGTTGTTTTCTATAATTTTAACAGTTTATACTGATTGCCATACAGCCCAAACAGGTAAGTTTCTGATTTTTTTTTTAATTTTTAGAATAATAAATGTCTTTAGTAGGTAATACAAACTATTAAAATAATAATTTGAATAAATTGAAAATAGTTTATAATTTAAAAATGATTTTAGATTTGGTGTGTTCAACCCAGTGGCGTATATACGAATTATTTTCACTATGTGCCAATTTATCAGTTATCACTAGTCAAGCATAGAACGACTAACATAGCCATAATTATACATTTTTAAGGGAGCTGGGTGGTTATAATTATGATATAGACAGTACAAATAAAAATTGTGCAATTCAATTTTATAATTATTATGTAAAATTAATTTGTTGGTTCTTTTTTAAAATATTGACAGTGTCATTTTACATTTATATATTTTAATGTTATCTTACTATGAATTTACATCAAAGTCAATAAGTCATCAAAGCAAATCCTGACAATCTAATATTTCCTTGTTGATTCCTCAAAAATTATTTTAATCAACCGGATAACTTAATCATGGTGAAAACTGTAAACAGCGTTAGTATACATGCAATTCTTTAATTGAACCTGCAATTTCACTATGGGCTCTGGTCTAAGGGGCCTCCCCCCTATATACGCCACTGGCTCTACTATAATAGACATAGTTTTATATTTGAAAAAGAGCTTAGTTTTAAATAATTTTATTAGGTTGGATACTAGATAATTATGCGCAACATTCTAATAATCTACTAACCATTAAATCTATGGATATCTCATAATTGAAGATGCAACTAAACTAATTATGTCCTTTGCTGAGTTAAAAAACCAAGGGGTATCAATTACACAGGGATTTCGAGTTGTCAAGGACAAGACCAAACTCCAACGGGAACTACTAAAATCATGCCACTCGGAAATTGACCATAGGACTAGCAATGGTGAATCTGGGCTTTCCATCAAGTATGTTAACGGTTCTCCGAAAGTGATCTCGAATGGGTCAAAAAACGGTGTTCACCCTCGGCGACTAACCGATCCGAAGTCCAACGCCCAAATCAACTAGTAGCTTCCACTTTATTATCCGGCTTCTACCAAAACTGTAGGGGTCTTAATACTAAGTTAACCAATTTTAAATGTAATGCGTCATCTGTAAATTATATATTTATTGTACTAACCGAAACTTGGCTACACAACAATATCTCTAATTCCGAACTAGGTCTTATTAATTATAATATTTTTAGATATGACAGATGTAATTCTAATAGCAAATGCAGTCGTGGTGGTGGTGTTCTCATTGGCATTCGTAAAGATTACCTTTCGTGTAATGTTAAAGTTACTCAATTAAATGTTGAACATGTTTTTGTCCGTTTTACTATTGGTTCGTATAGTTTCATCGTTGGTGGTGTCTATATTCCACCTCTCTCACCTCCTTTAATTTATGAATCTCACGTCTCTTCCATTGAATATTTGATTAATACTTATCCTAATGACAAATTTATTATTTGTGGGGATTATAATATCCCTGAAACAAAGTGGGATAATGATGATTATGGTATTGTATACTCTTATTCTTCTCCTGCCCGTGCCCCTTGTATTCCTGAATCATTTACAACAAATGGATTCTTTCAAAAAAATAATATTTATAACTCAACCAATTCGATTCTAGACCTAGTTTTTTGCAATGATAAAGCTTTAACCGTTGAAAAGTCGCTTGACCCGCTAATTCCTATAGATAAATATCACCCAGCTTTAAGTATTTTACTTCCATTTAATCTCCCAGTACCAAGCTGTAAACAGAGCCGCAGGTTCTACAATTTCCGCATAGGTGATTATGGGAATATCCGTTCCTTTATGTCTACATTTAACTGGTCTTCAACAATTTCTCAATACGACCTTGACTCAGCAGTAAATGTTTTATACGACGCATTGCATAAATCAATCCTTGATCACATTCCCCAGGTCTCTTTTAATGAATCAACATACCCACCCTGGTTTACCAAAAATCTTAAAAGTATATTGTTTTTGAAAAAAAAGGCTCATATTAATTATAAGTCTTCTTTAAACATTAATGATTATAGAGAATTCTCTCTCCTCCGAGCTAAACTTAAATATGAAACAAAAATATGTTATCGAAACTTTATACTCCGTACAGAAACAGCCCTTAGGACTAAGCCTAATGATTTCTGGAAATTTGTTAGGAACAACCGTGCTAAAATTTGTATTCCCAAGGAAGTGTCATACAACGAATTCACTTCTAGTAATGAACAAGAGACCGCCAATCTCTTTTCTGACTATTTTTCCTCAGTTTACTCTACTAAACGAGTAGATTTTGATGCCGAAAAAATAGATATTTCTACATATGATCTGCCCAATAATGCAACGTTTAGCGTAGAAGATGTATTACATGGCCTATCTTCGTTGGAAAATGTGTGGTTAATTGGCCCAGATGGCCTCTCAGGTCACTTCTTATATGAATTAAGAACTATTATTGCTTATCCGCTATGGCTTCTGTTTAGAAGGTCGCTTGATGAAGGCGTTTTTCCTTCCATGTTCAAATTCAGTTCTGTAACCCCTATTCCTAAATCTGGTAGCCCCTCCGTTGTTACCAATTATCGACCTATTTCCATCCAATCGCACATTTCAAAAATGTTTGAACTCATAGTCTTAAACGCCATTCAACCAACCGTCAATTCTATCCTAGCCGAAGAACAGCATGGCTTTCGCCCTAGACGGTCTACTACCACATGCAATCTTGTTTTCAATAACTATGTCTTTGACTCTTTTCAACAACGAACTCAAGTAGATGTAATCTACATTGATTTTCAAAAAGCTTTCGATTCAGTCAACCATAATGTACTTATTCATATTCTCAAAGAATCAGGTTTTGGCGAACCTCTTCTGTCTTGGCTAAGATCCTTTGTTAGTAACAGGTATCAATGGGTTAAAGTCTTTGATGTTAAGTCTAATTTGTTCTTAGCTTCATCGGGTGTCCCTCAAGGAAGTCATCTGTCGCCAATATTGTTTTCATTATTTATAAACAACCTCCACCGTGTGCTTCATCACTGTCAATTTCTGTGTTTTGCTGATGACATAAAATTATATCTGCGTGTAACCACGCCAGATGATCGTACAAAACTTCAATCCGACCTAGATCGATTCTCAAATTGGTTCAACACTTTAGGTTTAGCACTTAATCTCGATAAATGTAAAATTATGACCTTCACTAGATCCCGTTCTCCTATAATATACCCATACTTCATCAATAATATAGCTATTACTCGTACTACGGACTATGTCATGGATCTTGGTTTCAAGCTAAGCTGCAATCTTGACCCAACTGCTCACATCGAGTACGTGTGCTGTAAAGCGTTGAAAACCCTTGGTCTTGTAATCCGATTAATAAAAGATTTTCGGCTTGAATCGTCATTAAAAACACTTTTCTGTGCACTTGTGCGCCCCATTTTAGAATATGGGACCGTAATATGGGACCCTCATACTGCAGACAACGCAAGGCAAATTGAGCGTGTTCAGCGCCGGTTCCTACGCTATGCTGGTCATATCCTTAAGATACCTTGTGCACCTCATAACTATACACCGGTTGCTAATCATCTAGGTATGGCATCCTTAGCCGAACGTCGCCGTGTCGCAGGTCTTAAATTCCTAGCGGGTCTTTTAAACAATACTATAGATTCTCCAGTCCTTCTCTCGCAAATCTCCATTAAAGTCCCATTACGTCCATCCCGCTCAAAGGCCCTCTTCTATGTCCCACACGCCACCACTAACTATATGACTAATGCACCTTTAAGACGCCTAATGTCGTCTGCCAATGCAGAACCATCATTCGACAAATTGCTAAATTTTTAATAGATATACAAATTTAAGCTAAAGTTTTTTTTTTTTTTTTCTTTTTGGTTTTTTTTGTTTTTGTTTAATGTTTAAGTTTTTATTGTCATCAGATAATTATATTTAATATTAATGTAAGCTGTATATATTTTATTAGTTTTTTGTCTTTTGTAAAATGTCTAACACGATATAAGATTTATTGTAATGTCAAAAAGGGCTAAGCCCGTATAACGAATAATAAATAAATAAATAAATAAATAAATAATTGTATATACTGACACCAAATTAAATTACCTGTAATCATCAATTTTTAAAAAGAAAATTAAAAACACCATCAAACATACATATACGATGTGTATAGCAAGTAAATTTATATATTTTTTGTCTGTTAAATATTTTCTTCTATCTCATATTATATTAAATACATTTATTACTGCATTGTCTGTATTTACATCTTTCAAATGAAAATTAGATCGGTTACATGGCTTTAGTGTTACAGAAATTACAATTAATAATAATATGATTATGATATTATTTATTATACACTCATATAAAAATATTAATTGGAAAACAACCCTTAAAAATGTAAATTAGAAAAATATGACTTCTATTTTATAAACCTAATCATATTTTCTAAAAGTATTAATTAACAGCCATCATATAGTAATTTACTGTGAGTTAAATAAAAGTTTTATAACGAAATTAATTTTATATTATTTTTACATTTTATTAGTCTACTTGCTATATAGAACTTATAAAATGTGTATTAGTCAGTTAATTTTAAATTTATAATCTTTGTAATATCCATACACCTATAGTTATTATATTTATTTAGTATATTTGTGTTTTGATACAACGGTACCTAAACGCTGTTTACTTCAATAAATAAATAATCATAAAATAAATTGCAGCGTAAATTCTCTATTACCTCCATATATACATAAATAATATGTACATAAATATAGTAGTATGGTAAGTTGGATGTTAAAGTAACGATGATCTGCAAAACGTATGCATAACTATATGCACCATGTGCGTATTATTAACAACTTCTCATGGAGAGAAAGAGAGAATCCTGAGAAAGTTTGCAGTTAAATTCGTTCGTATGTACCTATTATATGTCTTATAATAGGATAATTTATCTCACGCTTTGTGTGATAAATAGAATCTCGAAGCTGCTCTATCAGCTTGTTTTCTTCGAACGAATGTTTTATTATTGCTGGCTATACATCTGATTCACACTACCTATAGTGTATTATGCGAGTCTAGACTCACATTTTATAATACTCGACCGTATAATATGGCTGTACAAGTTTAAGTGGATTTTTAATTTTATGACATATACACACACATATCATATAAAAGTCGGATTGTATATTTAAAATGTCTTCAATAACATTATATTATTATACTTGTTAATTGTACATACGGAGTACGGACTCATTTTTTCAATAAATTCTATTTTTTACTATGGTTTATAATTGTTAATATTTTTAAGACTCCTAATACCTATATTGTTTCAAAGACAGATGAGCAATATTAAAAATCCAGTCACAATTTTTTTTAGAAGCATGGAAAGTTCAAATATTGACAAAATACGTAAAATTCACGAAAATGTGCAAATTATTTTGAGTCAGAAATTCGCAAAATGTTTGCTATTTAAATCTAAGATTTGAAATTGTAATACAAAATTCCTCATAAATTTTTCTACTTTTATAAAAAAAAAAAGTCTACAAGAAAATCAAATTAAATTTTTATGAGCGTTTGAAGTTCATATTTTACAAGATTGGATATTCACTTGATGTCTCATGTAGGGATTTCGTTATTTTGTTGTGATTCAAAAACTAATATTTGTAGATACATGAAAATTTCACTGAATGTTTATATTTTTATTTTCTATACACCACACATTTTTGAAAATACCTTGACCCTTTTTGAGCTATTTACGGACATTGTGAGTTTTAAATTTGTTTAGTTTTTTTTTCTATAATTGTCATTAAAATTTTATTTGTTTTGTAAAAATGCATGAAAAATTAATACAAGGCTCCTGATATATTGTTACAATAGCAGTTGAAAAATATTAAAAATACATAGGCACAATTTTTTTGTATAAGCATTTAAAGAACAATTAATGTTATTTTAATTAAATTTAAAATTTAATAATTATTTTGTTGTTAAAAATGTATAAAATGTTCAACTTTTTTATCTAAGGATTGGAAA